GAAAGCCTGAGCAGGCCTTCCAAGATGGGTCTGTTTGGACTGGGTCTGGCTCGGTGGAGTGAGGTCCCGAGATTGGGGCAGAGGTAACAGGTGGGCACAAACGCCTAGTTCCGCAGTCTCCTTACCTCCGGAAAGGAGAGTGGGTGGGAAAAGGGCCAAGGAGAAGACCGTCTAGAGCAGTGGTTCCCCGCATCAGAACCGCCCGGTGGGCTGTGGAAACGTGGATCTCTGGGCCTTGTCCCAGGCACTGATTCAGCCAGTAGGGTGTGGCCAGCATTCTGCGTCGCTTAACAAGATCTCAGAGATGCTGTTGCTTATGGATCAGGGGCTTCACTCCGAGGACCCCCTACTCTAAAGTTTGGGGGTGGGGGTTGTACACATGAAACACAGAGAGGCTCTTAGTCAATCACCAGTCTCCCCTTTAGAATTTGCAGCCAGCCTCAGATCCAGAAGGGCCCTTCTGCTTTCCTGACCAGTCTTGCATTTATTTGTCACTATTATTAATGGAGGTTTCCTCCAGGATGCTGGATGCTTGCTTTCCAGTGAATCATCGCTATAGATTAGTTTTTCCTGTAAGTTCTCACATGATAGATGGAAATGAGAAATGATGTTACGTGAAATTCTTAAGTGCCCCTACATTTCATTTTCACATTTATTTTTTAAAGCACATTATTTTTGATGCATTAAAATGTTAATGAACATCATCTTCTTTGTACATATAAAGAATAAAATTGAAAGATGCCACAAACCCACTGCTAAATGGCCCTGTGGATGATAATTGTTCGGAAAGTATAAAATAAAGTACACACGGCTTTACCCTGGACCCCTTACTCCAGTTCCTCGCACCAATGTTGTCATGCCTGTGATTATTTTTCCAGATAACAAATTTTAGTTCATATCTCCACCCTCCTACACACACACATATTTTTCTCACAGGGTGATCGTGCAGTAAACACTGTGAGGGACTGGGAGTTTTAACTTCGTAATGTATCTTAGAGGAGCCCCTGGCGAGAGCTCCGCTGTTCACCATGACGTCAGCAGTTGAACCTGCCCAGCTGCTCCGCGAGAGGAGGAGGTAGCAGTCAGCTCCCACAAAGACTGCAGCCCTGTGAGGCAGTTCCGCTCTCCGGTAGGGTGGCAAGGAGGCAATGATCTATATATTATAGATATTCAGTATCAGCACACAACAGATTTACTTTAATCTTCCTAAGAGTTGTGGGATTTCATCAATGGGGCTCCCAGGGTTCAATCTCCCAAAAAAGGATTTTGGGGGGGTTTCAAGGTTTTTGATATTACAAATAACTCTGCAATGACCGGTTTTGCTCAATATCTTGAAAAGCATTCCCGAGTCTGGACATAGGATTAGTACCCAGTGCTGGTGCTGCTGGACAAATGGGATGTGCACTTTTAGGGCTAAAGGGAAACCCTACCTTGGCCTCCAGAAGGTATCAGGCATGCCCACCAGTCGTGAGGGCACACTCCTTCTCCCGGCTTTTTCTTTTTCACTCACTGAGGGCATCACAAAAGTATTCTAGGAAGGAGCCCTGTTGGCATAATGTGTTATGCACTGGGCTGCTGACCACAAGGTCAGCAGTTTGAAACCAGCTCCACTCTGAGGGAGAAAGATGAGGTTATCGACTCTCGTAAAGAGCTACGGTCTCTCCTCCCTGGGGGACGGACGATAGAAAAGTGGGTGAAGGGAGACATTGGACAGGGCAAGATATGACAAAACAATAATTTATAAATTATCAAGGGCTCATGAGGGAGGGGGGAGCGGGGAGGGAGGGGATAAAAAGAGGATCTGATGCCAGGGGCTTAAATGGAGAGCAAATGTTTTGAGAATGATGAGAGCAATAAATGTACAAATGTGCTTTACACAATTGATGTATGTATGGATTGTGATAAGAGTTATATGAGCCCCTAATAAAATGATTAAAAAAAAAAAAAGAGCTACGGTCTCAGAAACACAGGGGCAGTTCCACCCTGCACTATAGGGATGCTGTGCGTCAGCATCAACTTGATGGCAGTGAGTTTAGTTTTTAATATTATTAATATTATTATATAATAAAATATAAAATAACTAGGATTAAGCTTAATAAAACTTCCATATGCTCCTGAGGGACCCAAACAAAGTCTTTAAAAAAAAGAATCATCCTGTGTCCTTAGGAAGAAACTCACAACACCATGAGTATTTCCATTTCCCTCAATTAAACTATAACGTGAACGTAGTCCAATAAAAATGTCTACAGGGTTGTTTTTTTGTGGGGTGAGGGATAGTGGCAGGCAGAACTCAATAAGCTGGTTTAAAAAACCATATGGAAAAACAAAACAACAATATACAAGAAGATTCCGTAACTGGACAGGGAAATGGGAGGATATTAAAATGTAATATGGCACTAGCCTAGTTAGAACAGTGTTGTACTGTTACACAGATAGATAGATTAATGGGTCACGTGCATAGAGGTAGACACATTCAGGAACAATACAGATGATACACGTGCATCTCAAATCAATGAACAGGGAATACATCTGGGGCAGCGTGTTGGATTCACAGTGCATGCTTTGTGCCAGATAAATTCCAAATGGATCAAGAGTTTATATGCAGAAAATGAAATATGCATTACAAGAAATGACACGAGAATTGTTTTATAATCTCCTGCCCTTCTGCTGTGCCATAAGACTAAAGGCTGTAGAAGAAAAGACTGGAAAATTCAATTTCATCGAGAAAGTATTTCATAGCCAAAGCCACCCTAGGCAGAGTCAAGGGGGGAAGATATTTGATACTGGTGTCACAAGTCAGAGCTTAACCTTCCGGAGATAGAAAGTCAAAAAAGGGTTGGCGACCCAATAGAAACGTTGTCAAGGTGTCTGAACAGTTCCCAGAAGAGGACGTACAGGGTGTGGATTGTGATAAGAGTTGTATGAGCCCCCAATAAAATGATTTTTTAAAGAAAGACATACAGAAAGCATTTAAACACGAAATGTCCACTAAGAAAAATGACACTCAGAATCCTGAAACAGGAGTGGGAATCGTGATACCAGAAGGGTAGGGGGGAAAGGGGAAGAGGAAGGGAAAATAGGGGAACCGATCTCAGTGAAGGACACATAACCACACACCCCTCTTCAGGGGGAAGAACAACAGAAACCATGGGGGAAGGGAGACAGCGGTCGGTGTGAGAGATGAAAATAATAACAATGTACAACCTATCGGGGTTATGAGGGTGGGTGGGGCGCGTGGAAGGAGCTGATACCAAGGGCTTATTAGAAAGTAAATGTCTAGAAAAGAATGAGGGCAACATATGTACAAACATGCCTGATTCAATCGATGTATGGATTGTGATAAGAGTGGTATGAGCCTCCAATAAAATGATTTTAAACAAAGAAACAGACATGCACTATCTAATGAGACTAGTGCAAATTATAACTTCATATATATATATATTCATCTATGAGATTAACCAAGCAAAAAATTTTGGTGGGATACCTTTTTGCTGGAACAGAGGGAAAGGGGCATCCTTGTCCGTCACCGAGGAGAGGAGACCGCAGTGTGGCATTACCTGCACAACGACACCTGTGTCTGTTGTTAACACCAGCACCTCCGCACCGAGAACTTTAGTTTTCAGCTCTCCTGTGTGCGCACATGTGAAATCGTGTAGGAGCTGTGTTTCCATTATAGCATTTCCCAGCAAAACAACAGTAGGACACGTACACCTGTAAGAAAAGGAATGAGGAGAGGCCTCTAAGAAAAGTACACAGTGAATTGATCAAAGGCCAGGTGTGACATCACACTCCACCATTTGTAGAAAGGGGGAGTGTGTGGCTACTACAGACCTGTTTGCTTGTGTGTGGATTTAGAGATTGTTGCTGTGTATGAAACACTGAAACACTATGGATTTCCTCTAGGCAGGTATCAGGGAGTCAAAGGGTAGGTGTGTTAGGCCAGAAAAACAAATCCAGGGACACTCATATATGTGTAAGAAAGAGCTTTCTATCAAGAAGTAGTTATATACAGGAAAACATCCCAGCCCAGTCCAACTCAAGTCCCTATATCCGACACTATTCCATAAAGCCCTCTTCAGATCACGCAGCCTCATGCAGTGATGCAGGATACAGGAAGATCGCAGGCTGGTGGGTGCACATTCCTGTGGATCCAATGGCAGTGACTGGCAGCAATGAGGGTCGGCCAGCAGGGAGGTAAAGTCAGAGAGAGAGGGGGTATGAGAGGGCCACGCCCACAGGGAGGGCCACGCCCACAGGGAGGCTGTGGCCTGATTGACAGGCTAAACTTCACCCCTACACTTAAATATCTCAAGCTGACCTGAAATTACGTAATTATCACAGTAGAGCTGAGGTGGAAGCTTCCCTGTATAAGCTTTTGTTTTGTTTCACCTGTCTATCCTTCTCAAAAAAATAACTAAACTTGAAATTCAAATTTTAAAAGAATGTGATAGGTGAAAATATTTACGTATTGTTTTGATAGACATAGTTCTCACGGTGAGTTCGTCAGAATGTCTTTTCAACTCTTGCATAATAACCTTTTCTTTCATTGGGCATTTGTCCATACTCTGTCCATTTTTCTTTGTTTGCAGTACTTTATTTTGCAATATAAGGAAATTACCCATGTTTCAAGAATCTTGTTTTAGCTTGTCGTTTGTCTTTGTTTATGCTGTTTTTCTGCCACCTGCAATTTTATATTTACATGTAGTCTTTTCTTTTTCTGTCCTCCTTTTCTTTCGCCCTGCCTCCCTCCCTGCCTTCCACTGCAAATGGCTTTTCCTTCCTTATGGTCTCTGAGCAGAGGCGATCTAAGCATCCAGTGATAAACGCCTTGGAAGTGTGACGACAGGCGGTTCACTTGTGAAGACAGTAGCTGACATGGGAGCCTAGTTTTTAGCAAGGGGGCAACTGGGGCTGCTGGCCTCGGGCGCAGAGAGAGGACTTGCTGGGTGGGCGAGGGGTGGCCTCCTGGGCTCTGCTGAGCCTCTGCTCTCTTCCCCCAGCGGAGCTCCCGAGGTCCTCGGCGGTGAGGCTGACGTCCCTGCGAGACCTGCCCATCCAGCTCCTGGAGCTCTACCAGCAGGGCTTCTCGCTGGCAGCCCTGCACCCCTTCGTGCAGCCCACTGGGGAGCAGGCGAAGACGCCCCTGGAGCACATCTTCAGGGCCATCCTGGTCAAAAAAACCGAAAGGTAAGGGACGTCTGTGTGGTGGACGGTTAGCTTCGCGCTGTGACGAGAGCGTGTTGAACTGGGGCCCCTTGACACGGCACCCGGTCCAGGTGACCTCTGCGCTCTGATAGGTAAGGAGACCGCGCTGGAGAGCCCGAGCCACAGCACTTCCTTCTCAAGGAACACCAACCCGTTTTACACCCTGCCCCTCCTTTCACCGCATTGATTAAACGCAGCCAGAAAAAGCGTCTCTGGATGATGGAGCTGGTAAAAGTAGAGGGCTGTTCATCTGATGAGCGTGGCCAAAAAGTAGTATTCGTTTCTGTAAAGACCCTATACGAACTTCAGGAACACGGATGGCGAAGCGGTGAAGTGCAAGGTTGGCAGTTCAAAACCCCCCCCTCTCCCCAGACACTCCTCAGGTGAAGTGGCAGTCGGCTTCTATCAAGAAGCCAAACTCACCAAAAACCCGGGCCATTGAGTGAGTCAGTTCCACCTCATAGCAACCCCGCGTCAGCTCCGGAAGACAGGGTAGAACAGCCTTGGTGGCTTCCACCCCTCTCCAGAGCAGCTGCCGGTTGGGTGCGAACTGCTGACCTGGCCGTAAGAAGCCCGCCACGCCCACCAGACAGCACACAGTCTCCTCTGCCCTGTGGGACGTCTATACAGTACATATCTATATCTTTCTGTAGACAGCAACTCAATAGCAGTGGGCTTGGTCCTGATATCTTGATTTATTGTTTTGTTTGTATATAGACTAACTTCCCGTCTCCCCCAAGGTTCTAGAGAGACTGTCTAATTTTTGAACCCGCCGTACATCTGTCAATCACTTGTGGGGGAAATCTGCGTCGAGTGCTAGGGTGGGTGGTTCTTTCTTTGCCTCCCCAGGCTGCTGTTTTGTCTTTCACACTGGCCTACCCACTGCGAGTGCTTCCTCTGGCCTGTTTTTGGGGGCTGCCCAGGTGCTGCCAATGGCTAGCACTCTCCTTTAGCGCTTTCGGAGACCACCCCGAAGCACCCCAGAAGGAAAGCCAGGAGTTCTACTTCTGATGCTCAGCCATTGCAAACCCTGGGGAGTCCAGTTCTACTGCAAGGCCTGTGGTGCCCCTGTGAGTCAGAACGGACCATGGCGGCCACTGGGGGGGAAACAATTAGGAGAAGCGAGGTGGTGGTTGGTCTCCCAAAAGGATCAATATTAATCTTAAATGTCTTTGTAATGGAGGGGGAGTGAAGAAACACAATGTTTACGTCACTTTCCTAAAAATCGAAAATCAGATGGGTCCGTTGGTCAACCCTTGCGGGAGGAATGACCGCCGGGGCCGGGTTTTAAGGGGCCAGGAGGTGAGAGAGGTCAGAGAGCTGACCGTGGCCCTTCCCTTTCCCGCGTGGCTCTGCGAGGTGGGCATCGCGTGCGGCCGGTGTGCTTGGGAGGGACAGCCGTGAGGCGTGATGTGGTGTGACTAGGACGGGCTTCCCTTTGTGGCAGAGAGAGTTCTTTATTTCTTCCGGGCTGACCCAGGTCGGGGACCTGTAGTCCGTAGTCCACGTCAACTTGCATTCGAATTTCAAGTGAAAGCTGGTGGACGTCTTTACGAAGGCCCTGGATTGCCAGGCTCCTGGCTCAGAGCCCCTCTTTTTGGTTGTCTGCCTCCAGAAGCGCATTGTTTTTTCATTTTGGGGTCTGCCTGCTTGCTTGTTTGTTTATATTGTTTGCTGACGACCAGTCTCTGGACCAGTCACAGAGGAAACGGTGCCAAGGGTCCTAGAGCTCTTCTTTACACTGGCACCTTGTACAGAACGGGGATGGCTCACATTTTTTGAGCCCTTCCTGTGTGTGGCAAGCTTTGTAAGTATCACTTTATCCTCATCATTCACCCATGAAACAGCTCCTGTGAAGACTCCCGTCGTAAAGGCGAGGAAGCCGAGGCGCCATGGTTGGTCCAGGTGGCACAGATGGCAGCAGCTCTGTCGTGCTCCGAGGCCGGCTGACTCCTGAGCCTGCGTCGGAAGCCTGACAGCCGTCCTGCACTGTGATTCTGACGGACGACCCTTTGCAGGGGTGGGTGGGCGGGGAGGGGCCTGAGCATCTCTGGTATTAGGTGAGGCTGTCATCTCGCAATTCCACCTTGCTTCCTTCCATGTTGGCACTCGGTGGTCCTCAAATGAGTCCAAGTTTCGGAAAGGAAGCTAAGGAACACTGACCGTGCGCCTCCAAGGTTCCAGAAGGCGCGCACTAGACTCCAGACACCCTTGGATTCTTCTATTGGCTGTGGTGTTCTGAGGTCCGGGCACGGGGTTACCCCACGGTGTAATTCCACAATAGGAGCTGATGTTAGCCCCAGGGTTGGCGCAGCGGCAACACATTGTCGATGGACTTGACTCTCAGTGTGACATTGTCTCTCTTTCCCAGCGTGGACCATCGATTCTCAAACGTCATTGTGTTTATGAATCGTGTGGAGGCGCTGTTAGCCGGCCGAGTCTTACTCAGTAGCTGGAGTCGGGGCCTGAGACTCTGCATTTCTAACTCGTTCCCAGGTGACATTGACACTGATGGTGGCCCACACGTAGAGTAGCAGGGCTGCTGAGGATGTGACGACTCTGAGGGACCGAGTGCCTGGCACTCCACAGCACATTGGGAATCGCCGCTGGACCCCCAGGGAGAGTTTTGAGACCCACCCGAGAAGGAGAGACTGCACTGCAGGGCTCCTCCCTGGAGAACTGGGTCCTGGCTGCACCTCCTACTAGTGAGTGCTGTAGTGGGGGGAGCACACGAGTGGATGTTTTTCTGGGCCCCATGTCTCGTTGGTACAACGAAGGGCTGGGACTAAGTGGGTTTCAGTGCCTGTTCTAACTGCATATCGGTCTGATGGGGTGAGGTAGGCAAGGAAGCCCCTCTTTCGGAATGGGAGCCCCTGCTTCTGGGACTGGCCCATGAGAAGGCAGCAATGAGGCTGGGGTGCTAAGTGGAGGCTCTTGATTTACCCCGAGGGCAGGGAGAGGGTGTGCCCGCATAATCTTACACTATAGAAGAAGATGAATCAAGCTACAAAGACAAGACTTTGGTGAAAGGCTATGAACCATGCCATTGCCTTGGAAGATGTTCAAGAAAGCAGAGACGCCTGTCTCCCAAGGTTTGAGTTCACTAGAGTGCAAAGCTGTCTGGATGACTTTAATGAACATTCCAGCTCCTTGATAAGCAGATATAGAGAAAGAAATTCCTTGGATAGCCTTTGAGCTGGGACATTGGAACTTCCCTTTAAAAAAAAAATAAGAAAGAAAGCAGCAAATGCTCGATCATTTACCATGTAGAATTTTTAAAAACGACTGAAGGAATTTCTCTCACTTTTGATCCCCCGAAGTATCAGGGTGGGCAGGGGGTAGGAACCAAAGTTATTATAAAACATGATTTTAAAGCACGTGTACGGTCTCGTTTAGCTAATAGAATAACCATATGTTTCTCCACCATGAGGAAAAGACCTCACACTATTGAAACAACAACAAAGGACACTGCCGAACATGTTCTGCATCAGTAGGGAGCTTAGGGACTAAAAACAAAACAAAGGGGGACCTTCTGTGATAAATGTCTAATAAGGACAGTTAAAATGATACTTTTCACAAAGCCTGCCAATGTTCTGACAGCTAGAGATGCGGTCAGATGAAGTGATTTAGCTTTAAAAAAGGAAATAAGTGCCTGTTTAATATTTTCCGAGTACACCACACTGGAAGAGATGCAGGATTAGATAAATTTGCTAGCTTACTATCAGCCCAAAGCAGTTTATTAGCAAGAGTCGCCAAGGGATGATTATTGAAAGTTGGGTATCAACCTTAATGTGTGTGGACTGTAAATAGAAGAAAGGTTTTAGCGAGTAATTGGCCTTTGGGGTCTGCAGCAGGACCAGGAAAAATAAATAAAAGGACCAAACAAGCCTTGCTCATTCATGCCTTCATTCATTGACAACAGGTGTTGAACTTGTACTTTATGTAAAGGATTGTTCAGGGAGCTCTGCTGAGAGTATTGAAGGACATGTAGGTGTGAGGCTTAATGGGACATGAAGTCTGTTTTCAAGGTACCTACTGTATAACTGAGAAAATAAGGTCCCTGGAGTCTGGGCACAAAAGAGGTCACCTCTTGCTAGAAAGAAGGTCAAGGAAATATTTCCTGAGTGGAAGGAGCTCTTTTAAAAAATCACTTTAATGGGGGCTCTTACAACTCTTATCACAATCCATCCATCCATTGTGTCAAGCACATTTGTACACTTGTTGCCATCAGCATTCTGAAAACATTTGCCTTCTACTTGAGCCCTTGGTATCCACTCCTCATTTTCTCCCTCCCTCCCCAAGCCCCTTCCCTCACGAACCCTTGATAATTTATAAGTTATTATTATTTTGTCATATCTTACACTGTCCAACGTGTCCCTTCACCCACTTTTCTGTTGTCCATCCCCCAGGCATGTAGATCCTTGTAATTGGTACCCCCTTTCTACCCCACCTTCCCTCCACCCTCCTAGTAACGCCACTCTCACCACTGGTCCTGAGGGATTCATCTGTCCTGGATTCCCTGTTTCCAGTCCCTATCTGTACCAGTGTACATGCTCTGGTCTAGCCAGATTTGTAAGGTGGAATTGGGATCATGATAGTTGGGGGAGGGCGGGGAGGAAGCATTTAAGATCTAGAGGAAAGTGGAAGGAGCTTTTAATGTGGGCCTGGTTACTTTGGAGTAGCTTTTAAGAGGCACTGTGCACGAGAAGGGAGGTTTTATTTAAGTCTTAGCATGAAATATTTCTTTGTGGAGTGTCATGGATTGGATTGTAGCCCTCCCCCAGCCCCCAAATATGTGTTAACTTGCTTGGGCCATGATTTTCAGTGCTTTGGCAGTTATCTAATAATGTGGTCATTCCCTGATATGATCAGCTAATCAGTTGTCAGGGGATTAGGGTGGTGTGCCATACCCTGACTGAGTCAGAGCCTGGACCTGATGTAAGAGGGAGTTACCCTGCATCACTTTTTATCGTATTAGTTAA